CCATCCCTTCATAATCCTCTCTCTCTGACTCTGCCCCGGTGTTCAAAGCCAGTAATGTGCAGTGAGCCACTTGCAGAAGGGAGTTTGTAAGCATGGCACCCTGCTGGAGGGGTCTGGGAACATCTTCCCTTGAGAAACACCCTCCCTCTGGTGCCTTCCAATTGGTAAAGAACATGGTCCCTTCAGAAGCATCTTTATCAGCTAGGGATAAAGCCACCACTAGTGAGGCTGGTTTCAAGGTGTGGAGGGCCAGAGGGGGCACATTTGGGTGTGAGAGTATCTAGGATTTCATTGCCCTACTTCCTACTAAATACATTTATACAAATGTGATTTGCTGGGCTGAGTCCTGAGCCCCACTCCAGCCCCTTTGTGCTGCCATGAAAGGCAGTGGAAGGCAGGCAGATCCAGCCAGCTGAGGATTCCCCTGATGCGTGGGAGTCCCCAGTTGGCATGGCTGCTGTCTTGGCATAGCTGGCTCCTGTGCCACCCCAACTGCAGGACAGGAACGACTAGCAACTACTGAATTAGGGCCTGATCCACAGCCCACTGAAGCCAGTAAGTGCTCCAATAGGCACTCATAGATTCCAAGGCCAGAAGGGATCATCGTCATTATAGTCTGACCTCCTGTATAGCACAGGCCAGAGAATTACCCCAAAATAATTCCTAGAACAGATCGTGTAGAAGACAATCCAATCCTGATTTTAAAATGATCAGTGATGGAGAATCCACCATGACCCTTGGTAAATTGTTCCAATGGTTAATTACCCTGACTGTTAAAACTTCGTGCGTTATTTCCAGTCTGAATTTGTTTAGCCTCAGCTTCCAGCCATTGGATCATGTTAGACCTTTCTCTGCTAGACTGAAGAGCCCATCATCAAATATCTGTTCCCCATGTAGATACTTACACGCTGTGATCAAGTCACCCCTGAACCTTCTCTTTGTTAAGCTAGATCGAGCTCAGGGAGTCTATCACTATAAGGCAGGTTGCCTAATCCTTTAATCATTCTCATGGCTCTTCTCTGAACCCTCTTCAATTTATCAACACCCTCTTGAATTGTGGGCACCAGAACTGGACACAGTACTCCAGCAGCAGTCACATCAGTGCATTGGATCAAGTACTTAGAGACTGACGGGATTGAAAAACTACACTTGTGACTGAATGTTCTGTTCAACCCTCAGGCAGGAACCAGAATGGTCTAAGGACCGTGACACACATCTCCAGTCAGTGCTGTCGCATCTTACTAGTGTCAAGTCTGAGACAGCACTCTCAGCAGACAGTCTTGTAACTGGATTCACTCCCGAAGGCATTTACTGTCTGAGATCAAAGAGAGAAAAAGGAATTTTGATAACAGAAGGAAGAAGAGGAAAAAAAGGTAGCTGAAGGCTACATCCACATATATTCTATTCCTATCATTTGTTTTATAGGATCAATTAGAGGTGAGACTCCGGTGCGGTTGGTGCTGTTCAGACACATCGTGAAAGACCGTCCCTGCCCCAGTTAGATTAAAATTCAATATTTTAGTGGAATCAATGACAAAATGTCAGGGAAGCAAAATCATTTTAAAATGTTGTTGAATTTTTGGGCTAAATCCTCAGCTGATGTAACTCTGCAGTGGTGTTGTGCTGATTTACACCAGCTGAGGATCTGGCCAGACATCTTTCCCCTGGTGCACAGAAAACAAGCCCTGCTATTGAAGAGGGGCTGTCAAAGGTCAAAGGGTCTCGTTGATTGCCTGGTACATCTCGCCACAGTGGAGATGAGAATGAGTGACTGTTCTGCGCAAACAGATGTGATGAAAGAAGTGAAAAAATATGCTAATCAGGAGCACTTTCTGCTAATTATGGTAATGCTACTTCTGCAAGGCATCCCAAAATAGTCGCTCTATTCTCAGCCCCTGCGAGAGACTCCAGGGCTTTCATATTTTTCCCCGGATACTGCAGCCAGGGGTGGTGCCAAGACCTTACAGGACTGGGGCCGCTCTCCCCAACCCCCACCAACACACAAAAAGGGCACTGGTCTAAACACACTGATTAAATCAATCAACTAAAAGGCACTCGAAGAGCATCACGTGAACAGGCTGTCATCATAAAGAAAGGAGGAGGAGAGAAAGGCAGGTCTTACATTTAGCGCTTTGGATTGGAATGAAAGTGGGCTGGGTTCAATTTCTGCTTCTTAAGATTCCTGTGTGATTTTGGGGAAGTCACTTAATTTGCATGTACCTCACTTCCCCCCCCGTGAGACGGGCACGGTACTTCGGTTCAGACTGTAAGCTCTTGGGAGCTGGACTGTCTCTTATTTTGTATGGTGCGTAGTACCCCCTAGGTGCTACAATAATGCAGATATGAATAAAACTCACCACGACACACATCCAGTACAGTGTCAAGTGATTTAGCTGCAGGTCTCCCATTAATGTTAGTGGTTTGTAAATAGTTAAATCCTTCTGCCCTGAATATTTCCCCAGTTTTGCAAAGTAAAAATAATGGGTGAATTTATTAGAGTTGCCACCTTTTTAATTGCTAGTAACTAGATCCCCAAAGCCCTACTCCCCCCCACCCCACTCCGCCTCTTCCTTCTGCTTTGCATCTTCCCTTGAGGCCCCACCCCCTTCTCGGTCTCTTCTCCCAAGCCCCGCCCCCTTCTCCATCTCTTCCCCCCCAGATTTAAAAAAAAACTGGACATCAGAACTTGTTAAATGGTACCTGGACATACAAGCCGAAACCCGGACTGTCCGGGTGAAAACTGGATGCATGGCAACCCTAGAATTTATCTAGCGCTTTTAATCTACAGAAATTGTTCTACAAATTGGTTTCCAAACTGTGGGGCACATTCTAAGCCCAGCTACACCTGTGCAGCCCATTGATATCACAGATGTAAGTGGACCTCTATACATAAGCATCTCTTCACTCAACACTGCAAAGCAACTTCCCCTTAAGTACCGAGCAGCAACACTGTGCACAGTAAAAAGTACAGAGTACCTTGGTCAGTTGACCCCAGGGCTGTATGTAGGGAACATACACTCCCCTAGCTTTCTGCCAGGACACCTCCTGATTTTGCATAACAAAAATGCCCCAGGATCTGTATTAGCAACAAGTTGTCAAGGCCTCTGATTTACACCTCATCTATAAAACAACACTCGCAGCATGGCTGGGCTGGAGCGCTCCACTGAGCCACCCCTCAATCCACTTCTTGCGGAGGCTTGGCAGAAGGTTTCTCATTGTCACATGGCTTTTGATCTCTAGCAGGCCAGAGATAGTCCATACCCCAGTTCCACTACAGAAAGCTCCCACAGTAGGATTATTTTTCCATTGTTATATTAACATTCCCCTGGTTTTGTCTAGCCCCATGTTGCTTCTCATTTCTGTTTCCTTTCTTCTTCAGGGTCTTTATCTCCTGAGGTATTCTAGGCAATCACATCCTGAGCCTCTGGCTGCCCCTCGTCAATTATATTTCCCTGCTCTCAAAGCACAGCACTCTTGCTTGATTGTGCTAATTATCTTTAGCACATTAGTTCCTATTAGCTTGCACGTTCTTTATACAGAAGCCAGACCCCAAATGATCTGCCCTGAAACCATGGCTGCCACTGATTGCAACAGCCACAGAGCTCTTGCAATCAGGGCTGTTCCAAAGCTGGCCTCATGGATACCTGTCAAGTCCTCAGCTGGAGTAAATCAGGGTCACTTCGGTGGAGCGTAAAGGGAGCTTGCTGATTTATACCAGCAGGGAGGATCAAGCCCATTGCCTTGAGGAGACTGCAGTGAAAGCAGTGGGAAGACTCCCACCACTGGATGCTGTCCCTTTAAGAAATGCCTTTACTGGAGGGTCACAAGGTGAGATTGATTTTTCTCCCTTTGTGGTTCACCCCACATAACATCCTCTCAACCTCAGGAATTCCCAGATTTAACTTAATGCCCATGCCCCTGGCCACAAGTTTAACTGAGCCCACCTGCTGCCTCTCCTAGGCCTACAGGAACTTTTCCCCTGCTTTCTTGGCACATGTGACCTATACATCCCATCAGCCACCCCAGGATGGTAACTTGTACGAACTGAATTTTCATTTGATTTTTTACTTTCTTTATTGGTTTGGACAAATAAATCCTACCAAGTGTTTCTTGTCACTCTCTGTTATCAGGCAAGTCACCCATAACCGTGATAAGATTTTCCCACCAGTGGGCAGTCGCACCAAACGTGGACTGGTGCCCAGAAGGAAATACTTTTTCACACGGTGCACAGCTAGCATGCGGAACTCATTGCCGTAAGATATCATTGAAGCAAAGAGCAGAGTAGGAGGCAGAAAAGGAATTGGAGAGACAGTGTTGACTAGTGGATAGAGCACTAGACTGGGACTCAGAAGAGCTGGGTTCTGTTTCTAGCTCTAACACTGGCCTGCTAGGTGACCTGCTAGGTGACCTGCTAGGCAAGTCACTTCCCCTCCCTGTGCCTCAGTTTCCCCATCTGTAAAATGGTGATATTGTTACTGAGCTCTTTCGTGAAGCACTTTGAGATCTGTAGATAAAAAGCGCTTGATAAGCTATATTAATTATAATTATATGATTAAAAAGAATATCTAGGGTTATAATAATACAAAACCAAAAAACCTCAAGAGTTTAGGAAGGACTATAAACCCTCATGCTTCAGGGCTTAAACTAACCTCTAACTAGTGGGAGTCAGGGGGAAACTTCCTTTGCGGGCAGATTATCCCATTACTATCCCCTGCAGGATTTCTTGTACCTTCCTTGAAGCAATTTATAGTAGAAGGCCCTCTGGTCTGATACTGGGCAGCGGTTATTAATGATTATTATTATTGTTATTCATTTGTATTGTGGTAGCACCTGGGAGCCCCAGTCATGGACCTAGACCCCATGGTGGTAGGCACTGCACAAACACAGAACAAAAAGATGGTCCCTATCCCAAGCAGCTTAAGTATAAAACCTTTTGAGGGAGAGGGGTAAGATTCTCTTTATATGGCTCTATTCCTCCAGTGAAACTCATGTTAAGCTACCCCCAGAGTTATTCCTAGAGTAGATTTAACTGGGACATTTGGATCAGAGTGCACATTACAAACTTTGTTGCTCCAAGCTAGAGAGGTGGAGGGGGTATCTGTGCCCCATCAGTCTTCCTGCTGATGGGGTAAACCGATGGTGAGCTCCCATCAATTGTGACTCTGTGCTGGCCCAAGGAGTCAGGCCCAGATCCTCCCATTAAAACCAAGGTGTCTAAATCCCTGTGAGGATCTGGGCCTGAGGGGCCACGGTTGTTTAAGGCTGGCTCTGCTGCCAACCTGCAATGTTTGTTCCTGTCCTCGTGTAGCCAAGAAAGCAATGTCAAGCCAAGAGAATTCAGCACTGTGCCTGTGAAAACAGACCTAGCCGACCGGAGAACGGCCCTGATTTGTGAAGTCCTGCAGCTCAGAAGCTTAATCAAACGAGAAGAAGAGAGAAAGGGAAGTGTATTGGAAATAGTTCTCCGTGGTAAAAGCGGTGCTGAAAGTTCACAGCCAGACCCCTGAAAGAGTGGGCACACGTACCAACCCTGGTACATAACCAAGCAACCGTTCGATGCTATGCCGCAGCGACCCGGCGACAGCTGCCTGAAGTGATGGCACAAAAGGAAGGTTTGCTGCATCTGAGGGTGAAATGAAAGGAGTCAGAGCTGGGCGCACCTTGTTAATTAGGAAACGCGGAGGGTAGAAATAAATGCTCTTGCAGGGATGTCGGATCCAATCATTAGAACCAGGGCACCTGAACCGGCGGCATCAGACGCTGTGTGAGAAGGCAATGAAAGGTTAGGTCCCATTAGTGCAAGCAGACCCCTGCACTTCTGTGGACCCCTGTGGGCTAGGCACTGGATCACAGCAGGATCGTGTCCTCAGTGAGTGAGTGACCAGCAATCCTGCTATGCCTCTATCAGTGGTGGCTCTGCCCATAGGGCTCCAGGGACACTGACCTGCTGAGCCCAGCTTTCTTTCCATCTCAGCCCTATGGGCCGCCTGTAGTTGTCCTTTTGAACAGACAAGCGGATCCATCTTGCAGATGAAGGATCCGTACAGGAAGGGGCTGCAACTCCCACTGCTCCCCCAACTGTCGGATACTGCGGCAGGGAGGAAGGGTGGCTATGCTCCCTTGAATGCTGCACTACATAGGGGAACTTCTAGAGTCCCCTTAATTAACGAGCAAGCGAGCAGCAAAAAGTTCGCCCTATAACTTTGATCCAGATGTCATTCAGGAAGACACACCAGGGAATGAACTCCCCCCCCCCCCACCTCCAACATACACCAGAGATTATTCCATCAGCACAGCATAGTCATCAACCACACAATTACACCTCTATGCTCAAAGCGGCCCCTGTTGACTGATCAACAGCTGCATTGTAGGCGGCTGTTACTCTGTGTTTCCAACCAAGCCACCCAGCTGGGGAGGGAAGGAAGAAGGACAAGGATAAGGTGAGTAAATAAATAAAGCTTTGTACAATGACGAGGTTAAAACAGGATAAGTTATTTTATAGCCTCAAGTCTCTGGCTGCTAGCTAGGAAAGCTTTGGCAAGCCCTGTTGCTTAGTGCTGATGCATTTCCAGATCTCTCCACTTGATTTATTAGTTTACTTAAAATCATGCACTTCTCAGAGAGGAACATTGAGGCCTGCACTTGTAATGAGCGAGACTCCATGGGGATGCAGGGTTTTTGCTCATGTAGATTTCGTTGTGGGATAAGGGCCATGATTCCCACGTCGCGCCCCACATTAGTCACACAGAAAGCAGCATTCCCGTCCAATCTAGCCATTCAGCATTTCTTTTCTAACATTGGAGCATGTCTTACAAGCCTTGTGTTTTGCAATGGCAAAAATCTCTAGGGGCATTCATGGAATAAAGGTTTTAGAATGTGACCTCTTTGGGGCATGGGCTCTTTTGATAGGATTGCATAGCACTGACCATGATTTGGCTGCTATAGAAATACACAAATAAAATAAATAATCATTACTAAAACTTAGCAGAAATTTTAATACAAGCAACTCTTGTAGGATTTGAATGCACTATTTTAGTCAGAGAGGGACAGATACATTACCTAGGAGGCTATATAATCCTATAGGCACAATGCACAAGGAGTTGAGAGGTACAATCTATTGCACTTAACTTCCCTAGTTTGTCCCTTTTGAGCTCCTGTAGCCAGCCACCTCCCCTACCCCTTATAAAAGCAGGAGCCTGGGCTTTTTGCTATTTCCTTGCTTGCTGGCTGTTCCTTCTGCTCTCTGGCTCCTGGTGTGTTTTGCAAGTGGTTTATGTTTTTTGGTTTAAGAAGTGGCAGGTTTATAAGGGCAGTGGAAACTCCTGCTACCAGTTGCAATTAAGTGTGGCATAGGGTGTTGTGATGGAGGATTAGGAGGGATAGATAAACAACTTTTGTATCAGATAACTGGCTCCTTGTGTCTACTCATGCTGGTGGGTGGTGAATCTAGAGTTTATAGGACTATTGGTTTAATTATAACCTTTAATGTCTATGTGGCTCCCATCTTTAGAAAATGCACCATGTCTGTTGTGCTGAAACTGTGCCAGGCGACAATCGTGGGGGAGATCATGTCTTCCTATGGCACAATCTGGTGTGGGGCCGGGGAGAGGAAACCCCGTGAATTCCCTCTTGTAAATCTTCCTCTGACTCTGTGTCTGGAGGGGGCTGCCTTGCTCTGCGTGGAACCAATTGGGGGTCCAGCCCCCAAATCCTGTGGCTCTGGAGATGTCTCTTCTCCTCCAACTCCCTGCCAGTGCAACTGTAGCGTAGCCATGAAGACACACCCCTCCATGAAGTGGGGAAAGGGTTTCAGTGAGTAGAAGGCTAATACAGCTGGGGACTATACTGTCTTTGCAGCAGATTTCCTGCTGGGGGCTGTGAACAGATTGTTCTGGGGTCCCCCTTCCCACACAGGCTGCCTTAAGAGGCAGGAGATGCCACCTCCCATCATCCCCACCTGTCCACAAGTCCCTCCAGATCCTCTCCACCCCATGCCCACTGGAGTCAGTGCTCAGTGACTCTGCAAGTCAGGCCCTGATGCACGAATGAACAGGGGGATGAGCTAAAACCTTCTACTTGTTACTTGAAAATGTCCCCCTTCTGTGGGTAGGGACTTGGTATAACCTGCATTCGCTGTATTTATGAGTTAGGTTTCTATTGCACCGCACCGTGCAATATTTATAACATCAGGAGTGTTCCTAGCTGATGAGCGCTCGCCCTGGAGCGGGCAGCCACTTTCCCTGCCACGCTCCCATCGGCTGCGATCAGGACACTCTCAATGGAGAAACTGCAGGCAGCTAAAACACGGGCCACCCAACGGGCCTCTTCCCGTGGCAAGGGGCAGTGATGTCATAGGGAAAGGGGTTCCAGAAGCCTGCGGCAGTTGAAGTCCGCCAAGGCGTCTCCAGCCCGGGCCATGGTGGGGAGGGAGGTGTCGTCACAAACCTGACCTTTGGGCGTGGTCCTGCGGGGCAGGCCTGGGAAGCACCCACTGCTGCCGCTTCTCCATCAAGGCCGCTAAAGCCCAAGGTCTGTGAGAAGGTAGAGAAGTGGCCCCAGTCTGTTTGGCTTGCTCTCGCCACCCTCCCCTTTCTGCTGCTGGCTTCTCTCCACCAGCCCAGCCGGGCAGGGGAAGGGGACCGACGGGCAGGGACACTGGTGCTGTGCTGGAATTGGCAGGCAGCAACTAGCTAGCCAGCTGAGCCACGGGTGCCGCCCTGTGGTTCGGGGCGAGCCAGGACTCTGCTGCTCTTCTCTGTGGGGGCCTGCAGCTCATTAGACGCTGAGCTCGCCTGCACATGGGGGAAATCCATACCGGTTTATCAGCAGCGGTGCAGCTCCCCTGATGCTACCAGCCTCTGAGCAGCTTGTCACGAGCAGGCGGTATAATTGCCTACGCCCGGTCTATGCTGTTGGTGGCAACAATGCAACTGCCCCGTGGCTGGAAACCGTGTGCTCGTTTCCCCCATGTAGCTACATAAGGATGCGTCTTGATTGAAGCAAAAAGTCTCAAAGTGGCCCCTGACTTTGGATGCCTTGATGTTCCGGTGGCCGCCTGATATTTCAGACGTGCTGCTGAGTCAGAATAGTCAGCAGTAGGTGATTACAGGTTAGATATCAGCCTAGGTGTAAACTAGTTGTTTTTTTTTTTTAATGGGATAGAAAATGAAGTTTATACAGGACAAAAATTGCTCAGGCAACAGGGAGCAAGGGCCTTATGTGGGAGCTGTGTGAGGCATTCCTTGTGCACCACTGAAGAACCAAATGAGGGACATGCAAACTATTCATGCAGGAATCTTGAAACGACCCACCTTTAGTATCCAACTCTCTAACCTCAGGTTCCCGATTATTTACTTCTGATGTTAATAAACTTCAGCAATCAAAGCAGGGAGGTAGGGGGAAGTCGGATTTGTATGGAACGGGGATAACTTTGGGATTAAAACAAGGGAGGGATGCTTAGGGGAATGCTTGCTCTGTGGGAGGGCTGGTCTTCCAGGATGACTCCAATAGGTGTGATATCAGCATTGGCCTTTGATTGTTCTTTGCCTCCTCCCCACCCTCACACCGCTGCTGTGACAGATCATGGCGACCGGAACCCAGAAGTTCAAAGCGTTTGTGTCTGAGCCGATGGGCGATAAGGACGTTACAGCAGTGGATGGCATTAATGACGAGCTTGGACTAAAATTAGCTACAAAGGGTTTTGACAAGGTAACCATCTTTTCCTCCCACTCCTTCCCAAGCTCTGTTCTATTTATGGAGCAGGTACTGTGAGAGGACTTGATTTTAAGAAGACTGTGTTCTTGTGACTTTGCTCTTGTGATAGTTTCTCCTGCTATTATGGTCTTAAAGGCACTTCATTACCATAGCTTGATCCAAACTCTGGAGGGTAGTTATGCTGAATTATTCAAAGGCGCAAGACTGAATGTTATTCAAAGGGGCAAGGTCAAATTTCTTCCATCTTAAAGTGAATGCATCGTGACAGTTCCTTACAGTCCAACCAGAAATATTCAAACTATGCCTTTGGTTTTTTGAAATGCATTCCCCCCCAACCCCCCCGTTGCAGAATTTGTTTGTAAGAAAGCCACAAGGACTTCCCATGGGAGGGTGGGAGTATGGAATTAAAAATATATATGTCATGCGTTCGTTATGGTAAGTCTGGCAGCAGCTAAGCTCAAGAAGGTCGAGCTATTTCATTTCTAGTGAGGGCTTGGAAAATTCCGTCACTGGAGAAACGGATACCTCTGCTTTCTTACTACCTTCCTTGAATGCCGGTTAGCCGTCTTCCCCCCTAGGGGGAAAAAAATTTAAACTTCTAGTCCAGTTAACCTTTTGTGCATGCTGGTTGAAAGAAAGTGAACAGAAGGGGTGTGGGAAGATCTCTGTGTAGATTTCAAGAAAAGCAAACCCTGCTCCACCTGCCCGTGTTGGGGATCAGTTTTGTGTAACGACTGGATCCCGTCTGCACCCGTAGCATTGCTGCAAAGTCAAGTAGTTCGTGCAGAACAGCCCGCTATGGTCACTGCGTGCGTGGCCTTCTCTCCTCCTAGTGCACGTGCATTGCCTTGGTTGCCATGGGATGCACGGGAAGCAAGTCACACAGCAACAGATAGCTGATGCCACCTTATTTTGTTAAACTGTAGTAACCAGGTGACTCTTGAGTTGTGCTGTTGATGGAAGGTAATGGACACCTCCTACTGCCTGGTCCATTTCCTGCTGCGGTACTAATGGGACAACTGCAGAATCTGTGAGCTAACTCCTTTAGCAGACAGTGACTGTCAAGGCAGGTCAATGTTTAGGCCCCACAACCCTGAGCCTGTCCTTGTCTCTTACCCATTTTGATTGCAACTTGAAATGTTAGCAATTGTAAGAGCGGATTGAAGTGGGGACCACTTCCTGGCTGATTCACGCCCAGCACAAAGTTAGGACAGACCCTGTTCCAGTGGTTATGGGGTGGAGTTAACCAGCAACAGCCTCGCGTCATGAAAACAGCCCCTTTCGAGGGAGCTGGACAGACAAGGCCCAAGGTTGCACTACACGCAACAGATAGGCTCCTCTTTTAATGATGCTAGGAGCCTGTCCCACACTTGTGTCGGAGTAAACCTGGCCCCCCTCTCGTTCTGGAGAGCTAAGCACCAGGCTAAAAATGGGCAAGTTCCTTATCCTGGCAGAATACCCCTAATGAAGTCACCACAGGAAGAGAAGCAGTTACTTGTCTGGCAAAGCTTAGACCATAAAGTGGCCCAGAGTTTCAAATTAACCAGCTACTCCAGGATATGGAGTCAAATGGGAGGATGGGGGGAAACTCGTTAGCTGTACTAACTCATTCTGTTCCTCCTCCTAGGCATACATCCTTCTGGGCCAATTCCTCCTCTTAAAAAAGGACCATGCGGTTTTCCAAAGGTGGCTGAAAGGGGCATATGGAGCCAGTCCGAGCCAGGCTCAGCGGTGCGCCTCCTGTCTGACAGACTGGTGCTACGCTTTCCTCTAGGGAGCTGGCTGCATAGCCCTCGTGGTGTGTTCTGTGGACTGCAATAAAGTCTTTCCTGCCTTGAACTGTCCAGCCTCAATGTCTTCTTATTAGATGAACAGAGTCTCTATTGCCCCCCAAACAAACTGTTGTATGTTCTTGTGCAGGGTGATTAAGTGGGTCAAATTCTGTCCTTCGTTATCCCTGTGCTACCCCTCTGGAGTCACTGAGGGTCTAGCCCAACAGCCCCCTGCCCATGGAGAAACCTGGAACTTCTCCCTCTTAGCCCAGCTGGTCTCTCGGACCCAGGTTCAGCAAGACAGAGAAGCACGTGCTCCAACGCTAACCCCAGGAGTGGCCCAGCGGACGTCAATGGGTTACCCGTAGACTTGAAGGTTAGCCAGGGGTTTAAGTGCCTTGCCAAATTAGAACCTGAGAGGGGAAAGCTGGTCTTGCGGTTAAGGCACCAGGCACCCAGGAGATCTGGGTTCTATTTCCAGCTTCCCCTGTGTGACCTTGGGCCACTCACTCAGGCCAACACTTTCAAAATCAGCCATTGACTCTACATGACACGAAGCATGATTCTTCCCCCCCACCCCCCGAACAATGCTGAGAATTTGCTGTTCCCACTGGCTTCTATGGGAGCAGCAGCTGCTCAGCAAATAAGGCCCAGGATGTCTGTGAGCGCTCTAGAGATGGGGCCCTAACTTCCTCCTGTTTTGTAAAAGCAGGTTAGCCAACTCCCGACCTCTGAGGGCGGCTGTGTTCATACTGATATTTGCAAAGCGATGTGTGATCTTCACATAAATACAGTGGAAGTATGCACGGAGCACCCTGGCCCTGATTCTGCGACCGTGCTGCTGCTGGCGTGGCATAAAGAAGGTGGAAAGCCGCTGGATTTCCTTGGCACAACTCTAGGCCTGGCAGGGGCGTGGGTCTACTATCCTGAGCCTGCTGTCCCAGCTAGCCCCGGCTGGCAGAGCTGGGGCTGGGGAAGCTGCTATAGTCCAGAGCAGCTCTGACGGACACCAGATGCACCCAGAATTTGGGAGGCACAGAGGTGTCTTAAAGCCTCCTTTGTCTGCTAGGCTGTGCCACCTTGGAGTAAAGGGGAGGGAAGAAAAGTTCCCCCTGAGACTCGGGTTCTCTTCCCCCTTTTGGCCTTTCATATGCATTCTCCCACTGCAGTGGAACATTTTTTACAGTGTGGGCACTGAAAGCCAGTGGTCCCCCTCCCCCCCGCCCCAACTTTTACCTCACCCTCCCTTACTCCAGTCCATAAGGGAGTTAGGGCCAGGAGCCGGGCTGTGGCTTGGGGTGGGGGAACGCAGACAGGGATAAGGGAGCCAAGGCTGGGACCCCACGTGTGGGGCTGAGAACAGAGTCCATCTTCCCTTCCTCAGAAAACCCTCTGCCCCGCACAGAGGCCACGCTCTTACTGCTGTGTATCTCCCTCGCTGAAGACAGAGAGCTCTTGGCTTAATAGCAGACATCAGTTTGCTCAAACCTAGAAGATAAGAATCTGATACGTAACAGCCAAAGTGGATTTGTCAAGAACAAATCAGGGCAAATCAACCTTATTTTCTTCTTTGCCACGGAAACCAGCCTAGTGGATGCAGGAGGAGCAGTAGATGTGATGCATCTGCACATAGAATCTAGAACTGGAAGGAATCTCGAGAGGTCATCTAGTCCAGTGCCCTGCACTCATGGCAGGACTAGTATTATCTAGACCATCCCTGACAGGTGTTTGTCCGAACCTGCTCTTAAAAATCCCCGGTGAGGGAGATTCCACCACCTTCCTAGGCAATCTATTCCAGTGCTTAACCACCCTGACCATTAGGAAGTTTTTCCTAATGACCAACCTAAACCGCCCTTGCTGCTGTTTAATGCACAATGCGTTAATAAGGCTTTTGACATAGTCCCAAGTGACATTTTCATACACAAACAAAAAAATGTGGTCTTGATGAAATTACTGTAGGGTGGATGCACAACTGGTCATAAGACCATTCTCAAAGAATACTTATCGAGTGTTTGCTGTCCAAATGGTTTGCTGGGAGGCTGTATCTGGTGGGGTCCTGCAGTGGCCTGTTTTGGGTCTAGTATTTCATTAATGACTTAGATAACAGAATGGAGAAGATGCTTATAAAATCTGCAGCTGACACCAGCTGGGAGGGGTTTCAAGCCCTTCAGAGGACAGGATCAGAATTCAAAATTCTGAAAAATTGGAGAATTGGTCTGAAATCAACAAGATGAAATTCTGCACAGACAACTGCAAAGTACTACACTTGGGAAGGGAAAAAAATCAAATGCGCTGGAATGGGATGGACGCCCTGGGATGTCACCTGGTGTGCTGGGACTCCACTGACTCAGACTTTTCTGCCAGCCTGGGCCCCCTTTTACCTGGTCTTGCTGGGCTAGGCTCCCTAGCCTTTTCCAACCAGGTACACAGGCACGGCTACACCCAGCTGCACAGAGAGACAGAGATCCGCTCCGGGAAGGCTCAGCTTACGGGGCTTGCCACAGCACCCAGATGTCCATCCTCCCTTGGAGAACAAACCCAAAATTGTATGAAATTCATCTCTTCCCTCACTGTGGAGGAGGAGGGTATGCACAACTCCTCACTCCCCCAGGTAGAAATCACATCAACTGGGTTATATTATAAACCAGAAATAAATGTATTAACTATAATAGGTGTATTTTAAGTAGTTAAGGAGGTAGCAGACAGAACAAGGCAGATTACTAAGAAAATAAAACAAAGCATGCAAACTAAGCTTAATACACTAAAGAAACTGGTTACATGTAAATTCTCACCCAAAATGTGGTTCTAATAATCTTTTTCATAAGCCAAATGCCCTTCCAGCCTGGGTCCAGTTTTTTCCCCCCGTTCAGTCTTAGTTGTTTCCAGCAGTCATCTTGGGTGGGGTAGCAGGGGAGAACTGACAACCAGGATTACCTCACTCCCCACCCTTAAATAGGATTTGCATAAGGCGGGAGTCCTTTGTTTCCTAGTTTGACCCTCCCCCTCCCCCCAAGCTTCTTGTGGAAAAGTACAGAATTCAAGATGGGTTCCAGTATCAGGTGACATGGTCACCTGCCTCTGTAGGGCCCCTGTAGCCATTCTTCACAGGCTGACCCACACGGTCACAGGAAGACTAAACTCTTTTACACTCCATTGTCTCTTGCTGATGGGCCATCAGCACTGTCCGGCTTTTTAATTGTTGTACCTGAAGTGTTAGCGGGGGGGGCATCATCCAAAGTAGCAGAGTTGAAATACAGATCATAGAATATCAGGGTTGGAAGGGACCCCAGGAGGTCATCTAGTCCAACCCCCTGCTCGAAGCAGGACCAATTCCCAGTTAAATCATCCCAGCCAGGGCTTTGTCAAGCCTGACCTTAAAAACCTCTAAGGAAGGAGATTCCACCACTTCCCTAGGTAACCCATTCCAATGCTTCACCACCCTCCTAGTGAAAAAGTTTTTCCTTATATCCAACCTAAACCTCCCCCATTGCAATTTGAACCGTTAGTCCTTGTTCTGTCACCTGCTACCACTGAGAACAGTCTAGATGCATCCTCTTTGGAACCCCCTTTCAGATAGTTGAAAGCAACTATCAAATCCACCCTCACTCTTCTCTTCTGCAGACTAAACAATCCCAGTTCCCTCAGCCTCTCCTCATAAGTGCTCCAGCATCTCCTCATGTGCTCCAGCCCCCTAATAATTTTTGTTACCCTCCACTGGACTCTTTCCAATTTCTTCACATCCTTCTTGTAGTGTGGGGCCCAAAACTGCACACGGTACTCCAGAAGAGACCTCACCAATGCCGAACAGAGGGTAATGATCACGTCCCTCGATCTACTGGCAATGCTCCTACTTATACAGCCCAAAATGCTGTTAGCCTTCTTGGCAACACGGGCACACTGTTGACTCATATCCAGCTTCTCATCCACATAGTCAATATTCCTAACTTCAGATACAAATATGATACAGGCATACAATTTGGATAATCACATTCAGCAAGTCATAACCTTTCCAATGATATCTCACATGAGCCATCTTGCATAAAGTACATCTTGGTTATGTCATATTCACATCATAAGCATATTTTCATAAAGACTATGGAATGCAATGTCACACGCACAACTACAAAATGGGGAATAACTGGCTGGGCAGGTCTATGGCAGAAAAGGATTGGGGGTTATAGTGGATCGCAAGCTGAAAAGGAGTCAGCTATGTTAGGGCAAGTCAGGCAAAGGTCATCCTGGGATGTCTGAACAGGAGTGTTGTAAGAAAGACACAGGAGGTAATTGTCCTGCTCTATTCAGCACCGGTGAGGCCTCACCTGGAGTATTGTGTCCAGTTTTGGGCACTGCGCTTTAAGAAAGATGTGAACAAAATGGAGACAGTCCAGAGAAGAGCAACAACAATGGTAAACGGTTTAGAAAACCTGACCTGAGAGGAAATGCAGAAAGAATTGGGCATGTTTAGTGCAGGAAGAGAAGGCTGGGGCGGCGGGACCTGATTACAGTCTTCAAATATATCAAGGGCTGTTAAAGAGATACTGAAGATCAAGTGTTCTCCACGTCCCTGAAGGTTAGACCAGAAGAAATGGGCTTTATCTGCAGCAGGGGAGATTTAGCCCTGGTCTACACTAGGACTTTAGGTCGAATTTAGCAGCGTTAAATCGATGTAAACCTGCACCCGTCCACACAATGAAGCCCTTTATTTCGACTTAAAGGGCTCTTAAAATCGATTTCCTTACTCCACCCCTGACAAGTGGATTAGCGCTTAAATCGACGTTGCCGGCTCGAATTTGGGGTACTGTGGACACAATTCGATGGTATTGGCCTCCGGGAGCTATCCCAGAGTGCTCCATTGTGACCGCTCTGGACAGCACTCTCAACTCAGATGCACTGGCCAGGTAGACAGGAAAAGAACCGTGAACTTTTGAATCTCATTTCCTGTTTGGCCAGCATGGCAAGCTGCAGGTGACCATGCAGAGCTCATCAGCACAGGTGACCATGATGGAGTCCCAGAATTGCAAAAGAGCTCCAGCATGGACTGAATGGGAGGTACGGGATCTGATCGCT